GTGTAAGCCTGATTCCCCGTTTGGACTTCTCTGTTGACATCCATCCCTTGGCGCACAAATATGACCTTATGCCGTTGCGAGCGCCGTAAAACATTAAAACAAAAGATAGCTCTTTATACGCACCTTCCGAGTCGTAGATTGTCGCTAAATCCCAAGAACTGAGTAGAGATTTTTTTTTTTTAAAGGTCCAGGCCGGGAACCTAGCTTTTTGCACAAGATATTTTAATCTTTTTTTTATAAAAATATATAAAATGATTAACATTTTTCGCGGGTGGTTGAAGGGTACCACTCATGGTAGGTCCTGTTTCTTCACTTTCCTTCTGTTCTTTCTGTCTGTCTTGTAACTTTTTCCCCCAGTACTATAAGTGGCCATTATTGTGTCGATATGCTTCTATTTACTTAACAAATGAAAATACAAACAAACCACTTGTAGCGGGTGGTTGGCGGGTGCTCTGGTGTGGTTTGCTTCTTTTTTCCTATCAAACATAATATGTCGTCCTTATCTCCCCTACTTCTTTTTTATATTTGTTACTCTCTTGTAACACCTCTAATCTTCTGGCGCTCATATGACCTATGCAGTTGCGAGCGCTGTAAACCCTCTACTAAAACCAAAAACCACTTGTAGGTCCTATTTCTTCACTTTCCCTCTGTTGTTCCTGTTTGTCTGTCTGTCTTGTAACATTTTCCCACAATAGTGCTTCTTTTTGCTCTAACAAACGAACCAGTTGTAGTTCCTATTTCTTCACTTTCCTTCTGCTGTTTCTGTCTGTCTGTCTTACAAGTAACTTCCCCCCCTGCACTAAATGACCCTTATTGTGTCGATGTGCTTTCTTTACACAACCTACGAACAAACAATTAACATAATTTGTCGATTTTGAACGCTGAACGGGTGGTTTTGTTTCTGCTTTTTTTTTTTTTTTTTTTACAATTCGAAATAGGTTTAGTTTCAGTAAGAGATTTACGACACTTGCAGCATGAACAGGTCAAAATATTAGTTCCGAACTTACTTATTTACTTGGTTGGGGAATAGATATCATTGCATCTGGCACAATGGCATATATAGCTGCTGCTCCCTCCTCTCCAGGATCCATAATTTATAGTTGTGAAGAGTTGAAATGTTCCAAGAGAGTAACCTACAAACTAGAGAAGGAGGAGAGAGTGTAAGGGCGATGAATGTTTGATAGGAAAGAAGGAACAACAAACCCCAATCCCCAGTAAAGCACCCGCCAACCGCCCATGTGTATTAGTATTTGTTTAACCAGTGGGGATTCATTAATTAGATATGCATAACAAATTAAAACAATTTTGTTTTGGGTTTTTTCTCCCGCCTCCCCCTGTTCAAAATTATGTTTGCGTATGTGTGTTTGTGCATGCATTGCAAGGGGCAAACCGAAATGACCTTGAAACAGAAGATTCTCGTAAATTACGCACAGGGTTCTCTTACTGGAAGAATTAATAGTGGGTAGAGAGGAAGGGGAAAAAAAGGAAATGTCATCACCTCTTTTTGTTATTTACCCAAAGGTTTCTGTCTGACTTGCAGGTGGTTGGTGGGTGGTCTGGTGTGGTTTACTCCTTGATCTTTCATGTCAAACATATAATATTGTCCTTATCTCTCTTTCTTCTCTTTTATTTGTGTTTACTACTATCTTGTTACACCTTTAATCTTAGACACTAATAATATGACCTTATTGTGTTGCAAGTAACGTACCGTACAACTTTCACTACTAAACTAAAACACCTCTTTAACGTTGTCGTGATTCTCTTCACCCAAACTAAACTC